GCTCGCGCTTGCCCGGGTGTGGCGCGTCGAGGGTGAGGACGATGCACTTGAAGTGGTCGCGCAGCTTGTTGATGCGCGCCAGCATTGCCTCGGATTTTGAGCGAGTCGTCTGCACGTACAGCTGCCAGCCAAAGACGGCTCCCGGTATGGCCTCGGCCACGATTTGCTCGGGGGTCATGGACGCGTTGTTGCTGACTAGCTGCATGGCCCCGAACGAGGAGATGCCCTTGGCGATGCCGGCTTCGCCGTCCGGGTGCGCCAGGCGGGCCAGCGCCGCGGGCGAGACGTAGAGTGGTGTGCCGACCTTGTGGCCCAACAACGTGGTGGAGGTGTCGGCCTTTGTGCAGTCGATGAAGACGCGCGGGCGCAAGAGGATGTCCCGGAAGGCGCGGGTGTTGTGGGTCTTGGTGTAAAGGTCATCGGCGGCGGAGAAATAATAGGACCAGCACTTTTTGGAGACCTGAGTCTTGGCTGCTGCTTCGATCTCGTCAAGGTTGAGGAGGGTGTGGAGCGGCGGCGGCGCGGCTTTCTCGGATTGCTGGGCTGAGGTGGTGTGCGTCGTGGTGCCCATGGCCGAGCCTGTTGCCCTTGCGCGGGCTTCGCTTTCTTTCTGGTGAAGCTTGGCTAGCGATGCGTCGTCAATGATGCCTAGCTTGGCCTCGGGCTTGAGGTTCTCCTCGAGCGTTCCTGGCGGGTGAATCGGATCATACTCGGTCGTGGCATCACGGCCGGCGAGCTGGAGGATGATTTTGTCGCCGGCTGGGTGGGAGGGCAGAAATTCGGTCACGTCATAGACATTGCCGTAGAGGACTACCCAGCAGCTCTTTGGCGATCGATGTTTGGCAACTGTGTACGAGATAAGTATTGGCTCCGTAGGATGATGGGTGAGGTGGGTTTCCATTGCAATACCTTCCTCTGCCGTGAACACTTTTGGTGGTTTGGTCATGATTGCTGGCTGAGCTGGACGCAAGAACAACAGAAGGCAATAAAGATCAAAAGTAGCAGAACGCAAGGCCTAGCTGGACATCATGATTCCATTGCTATATGTAGGTAGGTCTCGAGAAGACTCGTGGTTTGGTGGGATTGGATTCTTCCATCTTAGCCGTCCGGTCACGCGGGGTCCTTTTCTGCTGTAAATCGCGTCAATCACCTCTCCATATGTGGTTGGTTGAATACATATTCCGATAATACACACTGACTGATTACCTAGTGGTGACTGGTGAGCGCCTCTCCCTACACTGCCCTGGTGCCCAAGAGCAGCCCCTGCGTCGTATGGCATCGGGGCTTGTTTTCTCCACATCGGGGGGAGAAGATGGGGGTCACGGCTCCGACAATGGGAAGATGGAACTGAAGTATGTATACCGGACCGGGTGATTAATGACCGAGACAGGCCCATCCATATCTACCTTAGGTACCTCTATCCCGAGAGAAGCCAGTGTTTCTTTCTGGTGTCCCCTCCTCAGACCGGGCACTCAGCTACTATGGTACCGTCCCATCTTGCCTACACTTGCGGGACTTGTTAGTATCCTCGCTCCATGCCGGGAGCCAGGGGGTGGACTTACACATATCCAACAACACAAGGACCCCTTGTATGTACTCGAGCCTCAATCAACAACAAAACCCACAAATCCCCAGCGGGAGGAGGATATATACAGAATCTGATTTGAATCGGCCCGCTTGCAGGCATGGGCAATCAAGAACTCCATCTAGCGGAGTTCTCCCGGTCTCAACACGGACACACTCTTTGGTACGGCTCCGCTCGGCGGCGTGGCCTTCTAGTATGTATACAATACAATACTAGTTTGTTTATTAGTTTGGTTCTTGGGACCCACCTATAGACAGGGGTGTAGATGGCCAGTGCGCCCAGATGCACGCCTTCTAATTGGCTCAATAATACCAAACTAGTCTATACATCAGCTTAGTCATATTCAACATAGGACAATGACAGGGGTCAAAAGCGCCACATGCGCACCTTACCGCGCCCACAGGAGTATAGAACACCCTTTTAGGCTAGATTACAGGGGATTATAACGCTTACCCGTACCTAGAAGCCTATTAACCGTACTAAAACCACCGCCACTTAAACGCTTCTAATAAAACGCAATTTCTAAATAGCCTTATTTAAACGATCAAATAGGCAAATTGATTAAATCAATTAGAATTAACTAAAATTAATCGCTTAATTTTACAATTAAAGAAGCTAAACTTCCTTCTTATTTACAAAATTCTTATACTTATAATTATATATTTATTCTTATATATTATTTACTTTTTACTTTAATTTTATTTTATTTTATTATTTTATTTAATTAATTAAATCGTTTCAATAAACTTACCCGTTTATACAATAATCCGTAAACTTCCTTAATTCATTAACTAAATTAATTATATTATTAAATTTAATTCGATTAACCCTATTTCCTTTAATAAGCACAACTCTTATTTTAATAATAAAATAAATTCTAATAAGCACAATTTTAGTACCTTAACCCACCCTTCTAATAATAATAATAATAATAATAATAATAATTATATTAATCCCCTTATTATAATACCTTATAGATAAATAATATAGGAAATTAATTTAAATTATTTTAATATATTATTTTTTTTCTAAGAATAGCGTAACCGCTATATTCTAGTAGTAATAAAGGCGGCCGCCCTACCCCACAATATTATTAATTTAATAGCCAAATCCGATAAAGAGAATAAACTACCAATCTATTACCCTTACTATCTAGGCCTTCGTCCTCGTCTCCCGGCTATACCTAGTAAATCAATCTTTCTATTTATATAAATTACATATTAATAATAATCTAATTACCCTAACGTATCGGACTAATATTTTAATAACGCCTAACGCACCCAGCCCGGTTATTTTATATTCTTATAATTGCACTAGCCTAATATTATTTACCCCCAGCTTCGAAGGTCCTACACCGCTACTAATTAACCATCTCCCCCTTCGTACCCCCTTTAGTAATATATCTAATATCTCTTTTATTCGGTATTATATTAGTCCGGCCTATAAATTAACACTTATATCGTATAAAGAACGGATTATAATTAAAATATTCCACTTTTATATTAATTTTACTATACTTCAAATTACTTATATTCTCAATATTATAAAGCGGCAAATCTTATATACTATTACCGCAACTACCTAGTCCGGGTATGGATTATATAATCGCTCGCCTATTATACCGTTAGAAATCTGCCGAGAAATTACTATATTCTTATAAACTCCTTATAAATTTAAACAATTTCTATTATAATTAGAAGTCCGTAGAACTCTCCCATTATTCGAACCGTATAGAGCCCGTACGATTTAAACTACTATATAATAATCTAACGCCCAATAAATTTTCTAGCCGGTCCGCTAACCCCTCTCCCCTAAAAATCGGCAAGCGCACTTATAATTCGTACTCTACTAGACTATATTAATATCACTCTAATAGGAAAATTAAATATAATCTAATAAGACTTAAATTAATAGCCTTAACTTTAAGTACAAATATATTACTATATTCCCGGGAAAAGACCCTAATAATATAGCCCAAATTCACTAGAGAGCTAATAACTAGATATTCTAGGGTTACTTTACCGGCGGCGCTAAAGGGCCTTCTTTAATTTAGGATAAAAAATAGAGTAAAATTAATTCTATTAACTATTAAAAATATATCGTACTATTATTACACTCCTTCTAACTTACGGACTATAACCGTATAGTATAGTAAAATAATACGCCCACTTATATATTTCGCGCAATTAAAACAGTATTAAACGAGCTTTTCCTAATAAATAAATAAGTTACATAGCCGGTTTACTTACCTGATTTAAACCCTATTAAACACGTCTAACTCTAAATAAAACGCTGGATTAAATATAATTACCTGGTTAGACTAATTAGAAATACCCTTAGGGAAACTATCAACAAAGTATAGGTTACTTGCCTAGAATCTTATATAAAAAAGCTAGTATATTCAATACCTAAGCGGTTACAGTCTATTATTATTACAAATAGCGGTTACATTGGATACTAATCTCTAACATTTTAAATCCCTGTTTTTACACATTAAAATCCCTATTTTCAATGTCAAATAATGTATAATAGTGTTCATAGTGTGTTAGTTTTACTTCAAATTGGCTTAAAATAAATAGATTCTATTGGCTTTGCATCCCTATATTCCACCCCTACTTGTACCAAACTAATAAACATACCAGGGTTAGATTGTACGTCTTAGTGTTTCGGTGCTTGGGTGTCTTTATTCTTCTTTAATTATTTGTTTTATTTTTTACCGCCGGTTACCTAGGAACCCTTGTGGCAACAGACCCTGAGGATGTCGTTTGCCCCTGTTTGTTTAGGGTCGACATCCAACGAACGGTATCACTGCCCGCTGTGAAGGCGTGGTGGTGAGGGTTAGTCCCTGGACCCGGTTGCCGTACGTGCCCCGCCCCCACGATTGCAGTGCCGTCACTGCCCGTACTTGCCCGCCCACCGGGGAGTTGCTCCTACGTAACCATGGCCTACCTGTACCACACGCCAGGGCATGTACATGCCACGCGCCTGCAGGTGCTCATCCCGATAACATCGCGGTGAGACACAATCAACCGATAAGTACCTCCCTAATCGGCTGCCTTGTTCAGCTGCCACCAGTCAGCCTGTCACACCTTGATGACTGCTTTGCCTTTCGCTTCAGTTCCTTTGATCCATCTAATTTACGAAATAGAACCTCGCCCAAGACCCGTTCCGCTCGACTGTTTCGACCCTCAATTGATGCCGTCGAAGGACATCACAACTTCCGGACCTCACTTATCCCGTCTAACTGGCCAGGCTGGTCGATGTCAGTTAGCAGTATAGTAGCCGCGTCCCTAGTACCAAACATCTGAAATTCCATCACTATATACGCCAAAGGTTGCACACTTTACAACATCTACTTCCGGCATCACTGCCGACCGACCCCTGAACCACTCGAACCAGCGCCAACGACGACGAAATGCCCCCCTCGAAGCTCCGGATCCTCTGCTTCGGCGACTCCCTCACCGAGGGCTACTCCGGCTGGGGCTCCTGCTTCACCCCCTATAGCACCAAACTCAAAGAGATGCTGCGTATGGCGTTCCCCGATGTCGACGTGGAGATAGTAACAGACGGGCTGTCCGGTGATCTGGTAACAGGTGAAGGGTCGTTTCTGACAAGGATGGAATCACACTTCGCCCCAAGGAACCCAGCAGACTACAAACCGTTCAACTGGGCCATCGTGCTCGGCGGAACCAACGATCTCGGCAGTGACATCCACCCCAACCAAATCTTTGAAAGCCTCACACAGGTCTGGGACGTGGCTCTGAGCCGTAAATGCAAGGTCCTCGCGCTCACCGTTCCCGAGATCGGATCTTCAGCTGGCAGAATGAAGGAGTTGTTGGACTTTAGGAGGGACAAGTTGAACCAGATGATCAAGACCTACAAGAAGCCCAACTAGTATGTCCCCCCCTCACCCCCGCACGCCCTCTCTGAATCCTTCTTCCCTTTCTCAAACCCACACCCACAGTCTCAAATCGTTCCGTAACCAAGACTTACAACCCCAACCCCCCAAAAACAGCTACACCTTCGATCTCCACGCCGCCTTCCCCTTCTACGCCATGTCCGAAGCCGACCGGGAACGTTACTGGGACGACAGCGTTCACTTTACGCCCGCGGGCTACGATCGGATGGGAAACAAAATTGGCGTCACTTTCGTCAATATGCTTGTCAGAGAACAATCGGACAACGACCGGACGCCGATGGGCAGGAAAAGGAGAATGTTCAAAGATGACGAGAAGGTGTTTGAGGAAGAAGAGGACCCGGCTGAGCCAATATCGGCTGGGCTTGATAAAGGATATATCGTTGTTCGTAGGAGGGATTTGGATTAAACTTGTTGCGCCAGTTAGTCCGCTGCCTGGTTCTTAGCGGCAGGCGGGCAAAGTGGCGTACCAAGAGAACGACAGCGTCGGTTAGCCAGGGCTACAGCGGCATGGATGTCTTTGGGTATTTATGGGTTTGGGACAAAGGGTAAGCGGCGTTTTTGCGGCATGCGTTGCGTTACGATTACGACTAGCATAAGAGGGACGATTTGCGGGAGAGACATGGTTGGATAAACGGTCATGGTTAGATATTTAGGACATTAGCATGACAATACTAATACGCGTTATACCTGCCTGTCTCAATGTAACTCTATTCTGGATTGTATATAGACTACGTTTTAGACACTCTTGAAGGACAATGTCCCATTCGTATGTATGCCTCCAGTGCTGTATTTCTTCTCTTCGAAATGTACATACGCCTTCTTTTAGGTGTCATACGTGCTGCTCTTTGTTATCATGCTTGCTTTCTTTTGGAGGGGCTGCCAGACTTCGCTGGTACGGCTGTGATGAGCGCTTCCATCTCCTCGAGAGGATCAAGATGCCCGCCCAGGGACGAGCTATCCTAATTGCCAGGAACCCCGGCGGGTACCAGCTGAGGAAACTCCACCAGAAGATCATCCGTGATACGTTCGAGGTCTTCCGCCAATGCTTGCACCATCCCATCCTGCCTCCGCATTTCCTTGCCCACCGGTACCTCGGCCCTACCACTACCCTTCTCCCCCGAGGCTTCCAGCCCGCTCTCAAAGTAAATGATCCTATCCATCTGATCGATGGACCCCGCCAGCCGTCCTTGCTCAATCATCCGCGCCGTGATCTCCTCCGCCTTGTTCCCAGAGTCTAGCCCCAACCACGACCCCAGCGCGTCGAACCCAATGTTGCGGTACAGCCGGCTCACGGCCAGCAGGTTGTGTTCGACCATGGCCTTGGCCAGCACCGTGCTCCCGTCCGACGTCGTGGCCAGCTGGTGCGGCGCCAGGCCCTGAGCGAACTTTTCTACCTCGGCCCGCGCCAGCAGGCGGTCAAGAAACATCTTCTCCAGGATGCCGAACTCCTCCAGCGAAGCCGACCGTTCGTCCTTGTAGAGCCTTGCCAAAACGCGTGACCGCGGGGGTCCCGCCGGGGCGAGGACGGCGCACTTGATGGCCATGCTCAGGGTGTGCAAGCGCTCCTCTTCGGCGATGGCGGGCGACAGGCTGATTTCGTAGTACGACTGCGAGGCGGCCAGAAACTGCCGGTTGCTGTCCTGGATGCGGGCGGCGCTGAGCTTGAAGTGCAGGTTCAGCACCGGGTTGTCATCGGCCACGTTGTGGATGATGTTTTTCAGCTTGTTGAGGTAGGTTTCGGCGCTGGTGGCATCGTCGTCTTCCAGGTAGTTGCGGATGATGCGGATCCAAAGATCGGCCTTGTACTTGTCTGTGACGCGACGCTGTGAGGAGTCAAGCGGGATGGCCGCGAGCGTCTTGGCGGCGTCGGTAAAACTATTTTGTGATTCGTGGGCGGCCGCTAGGAGGTCCTCGTAAATGGTGGCGGTCTGGTCGACCAGCGAGGTTGCGAGTGTGGGGTTGGACTGGATGTGCTGTTGGATGGCCTTGCCTACGTCAAGCCAGATGCTGGAGGTTGTGGAATTAATGGTGTCTACGGAGGGTCCTCCGGAAGCAAGCGATTTAAGGGCGTCTATCAGGTCGATGACTAGAGCTCGAGTGGCGACGACACCAAGCGACTCTAGGAAGATGGCGTCGGTAACGGCTTTGAGGTCGGCGGCGAAGTGGCTGGGGTCGGGGCTGGAGGTGATGGTGGTGATTATCGTCCTGAATGCGGCGGGACGGTCTGCTTGACTCCAGTTCGGCACTTGCGCCAGAAGATCTCTTACTTCTGAGGAGACCATATTGGCCCGTGATGCTTTCTTTTCGCGGTTGGAGTTACCACTGCTCGTAGTTTGCTATGTTGGGGGGTGAAGCAGACGTGAGGGGCCGCCCGGTGGATGGCTGTGAATATGAAGCTCGTCTGAGTATGAATCCCAGCCGAATAGTGTGGTAGTAGTAACTCTAAGTCCGGTATGAGAATTTTGAGTATGTTCCTGTGCTGGTGCTGTTGGATGTCGTGAGTTGAAGAGTTCAGTTGAGTTATCGAACAAAAAGAAGGTTGTCGATAAGGCTGAGTGACCGTTGTCAGTGACAAAGTGGTTGAAAGCTTCCTCAGTAGCTTGTCGTTAGGTGCGTGTTGCTGTTGCTGCTGGTGGGGGTGGGTTTGCTGTGGGGCTGTAGGGAAGCTCTACCCACACTAAGTCAGTGGAGCGGCAGGGATCCGCCATCCGGTTGCTCAGCTCTTCACTCAGTCCGTCCTCCGGAAAGCAAAAAAGTCAGGGGCTTGTAAACAAACATCTGAAGCGTCTTCTAGAAGAGCACAAGTCTTTCCAGCGATGCTCATCGTCGGCATGATGGACAGTAGTGCAAAAATCAGTTTCTGCCCCTGTTTACGTTGAGCTGAATGACTGGCTTTGTATCGGGGCCGACTCATAAGACACCACCCTTGACCCAACAACTTACTTACTAACCCATGTTTTCCTCAAGGCAACCAACACACCAGTTTTCTGGACGTTTGAACTGTCCCTGGGCCTTTTACTCGCAGCTTCCGTGAAGTGTAGCGCTGGATTTTTGCTCATACTGCACAAATTCGGCTGGTTGGTTCCTCTAGGTCCTACCGAAGAGCAAAATCGTACGATGCCCTTCGGCCTGCTGTGACGTCTACTGACGGGCACTGGGTTCTGTTATAAACTAGCGGGGTCGCCGCCCTCGTTACTCCCGCAATGTTCAATCCTTTTCCAGCGCAGTTCGTCGTGTTGTTCAATTCTCGCCGGCAATCGAGTACAGTCCAGTCGCCATCAGTCCATCACGACGCCATACCTAGTATCCAAGGCTCGAGTAGGCGTACCGACCGGTAGCTTCATGCACGAATTCAAACTTGCCGGCTTTTTGTTAACGACGGCCCTCGATAGCCATGAATCGAAGACGCGGTTGGAGTCCATTACTCGAGATATTCGTATTTCATCTCATGCTGGGACGGGATGAAATCGGGGGCGACGAAGTGCATCGATCCTAGCGGGTCCAACGCGCTATTTTGACCGGGTAGCCCCGCTAGGGCTGGCACCTTCGCCGAGACTTCCAGCGACGTCATTTGCTGTGCCGCCGAGAGCTTCTTTTCAGTTGCGCGGGCGGCGCATCCGAATTGCGGCGTCATTTCGACTTTTCAATTCTTTTTTCCCTCTATACAGTCACGCCGGGCGACCACAGACGACACAGCGGAACAATATTACTCGACCGAATATCGTAAAGGATCATTTCATATCGCTCCCGAAACTAATATTCTTCATTCTTCCCCGCCGAAAGTCAAAAAGCAACATGCGAACTTCGATCCTCTCCAGCCCAGCAACGCGCGCACTTTGCGCCGCCTGTCGCAACGAAGCCAGCAGGACAAACGCAGGAGTGGCCTTCTCTACAGCATGCGCCAGCAAGAGCAGTAACCGGAGGCCAGAAGTCCCCGAGCAATCAAGGCCACGAGTGACGACGACGACGACGACGACAAGAGAGATACAAAAACACCGCCTATTCCCGAGCGCCCGCGCATACGAATACTCTACCTCTTCTACCCCCTCCGACAACACCTCACCCAAACCCCAACCACCAAACTCCTCCACCTCCTCTTCAGATAGTAACAAACCCATACCGCGCTACTACGCCCTCTTCCCCATCACCCTCCCCCTCGGCCCACCCCCGTCAGGGCCCTTTGACATCGACATCCGCGCCCTGCGCCGCGAGTTCCTTCGTCTCCAAGCCGCCTCCCACCCGGACTTCCACCACTCAGCCAACCAGTTTGACAGCAACAGCAGCAGCGGCAACAGCGATGAGTCCCTGCTGCAGCGGCGAAAAGCAGAAGCAACGTCCTCTCTCATCAATTCCGCCTACAAGACCCTTTCTTCGCCCCTTCTCCGCGCACAGTACCTGCTCAAAGAACTCTACGACGTCGATTTGGCCGGTGACGAATCGACCGACTACCAAAATGGGTCGGATCCCACCTTGTTGATGACGGTGTTGGAAGCGCGGGAGCAGATTGACGAGGCGAAAACGGAAGCGGATTTGGAGCCGGTTAGGGAAGAGAATGAGGCGCGGATCAAAGAGTCTGAACAAAAATTGAGCGAGGCGTTTGCTCAGGAAGATGTGGAGGCGGCCACGAGGGAGTGTGTGAAGTTGAGGTATTGGATGGGAATAAGGGAGGGGTGTAATGAGTGGGAGGAAGGCAAGGGGTTTGTTATGCATCATTAGGGGGGTTAGGTGATGGAAGAGGGTTATATGGGGTTGTTTTTTTTTTTTTTTTTTTTTTTTGTTACGGCGGGTACGAGGGGAGAGGAGAAAGGGCTGCGACGGGGTGCTTTTGGCTAGATGAGCAGCCTGGGAGGATTCAGATGGTTTACTACGGGTGTTAATGGACAAACTCTGACCTAAAGCGTGGTGTCCGGTCCAGGTCTTCGTTGGTTTTTCTAGGCTTGGAGATGAGTGGTCTAGCATGCATGACCCGGCCGGAGGGTCGGTTGAAATTTACCCATCCGGGCCCTCTTCATCCGTGATGATCATTTTGACACTCGGCCTCTTCTGTACTGGTTCTGAGTACCAGCTAATGGAAGAAAGAAATATAAAAAAAAGAAAGGTCACAGGTGTCCACTCAGTCATAATGGCAATCTATATCTTGGCGTTATGTGAACATTCTCATGTCACCTACAATAATTCTTTCGTCGTCAGTGATGTTTCATACATACACACTAGATTATAGCATCAACCACCATTGCAAATCCTCTCATCCATATATCACCACAACCCAGACAACACCTATTCAGTGCTGCTCGCTTGCTGATTCATCACTCATCCATCATTCTCTCTCCATAATCATGAAAGCGCAACTGGCCTCCACCGTCCCCTCTCCGTATGCCACCATCTCTCCCGATCCTTCTTGTCAGCCACCGGCCCACTGTACGTATTCCACCGTCCGATACACCCTTCCCTTGTCCTACTTTGCTCCTCCGCACCCGTCTTCACCATCACGTCTTCCACCTTATTCGCTGCCTTTTCTGCCGCCTTTTCCGCCGCCGCCGCAGCTCTACTTTTACTCTTGCTCCTCGCACCCCACCACTCCCTCATCCCAGTCCTCGAAGTGCTCCTGCTCCTTCGATGCTCCTTTTTGTCTTCCGAGGATTTTGAATGCCTATGCTCATGTTTCTCAACCTTCTCCGACACAGCCTTTGATAACTTGGGAGGCAACACCAACGCCTCTCCACAGTCTCCCAGCATTCTATCCACGGTAACCAGCCCACCTCCTTCGTCTGTTGCGCCGCTCCCTTCGTCGGCTGTCAGAAGATACGTGATCTTGCTGTCCGTCCGTCCAATGAATGCTCCAACGCCATATCTGTCCACAACTTCGCCGTTGGGGTCGGTGACGATGATAAAGAAACGGGGAAACTTGCGTGCTGCTTCGATGCGGGCCTGAGCAGCTAGCCGGGCGAGGTGCAGGTCTGATTGCGCGCGGTGCGAAAGGAGGAAGGGATCTGCTAGAGAGCCGGGTTTGGGCGCGAAGATGGGAAGGGACTTCAATGGCGGACCGCCGCCGCCGCTGGAGGTTGACAGAGGAAAAGAAGTATCGGTGGGTGTCGATGGCGTGGAGATGGTGTCCCTGTCATCGCCGATGGAACCATTCGTCATACTTCCCGTGCTGCTCGCGATCGAGTCAAATCCAGAGGGGCTGCGCGCGTGATGGATCATCCCGCTGGTGTTGGTGGGCGTAAAGTGCATCTTGCCTCCGCGATAACGATCGGTCGGGTGGTCGGCGCGCTCTTTGGGTTTACAAAGAGCCTGGAAAACTCCTTCGGGATCATTCGGACAGCGAATGGCGGTTAACCGAGGAAAACCGCCGGCGAGTATGCTCTTCGCTAAGATGTCGTCCGCAGGCGTGGTCGTGGTACGTGTGGGTATATCCCAGTGAAGCTTGCGCAAAGAGTTCGAGGTAAGGTACGGAAATAGCCAAATCATCTCATCGCTAGGCATGACTGGGGCGTGGTGTTGGACGAGGTTGAAGGTATCCAGGTTGACGAGGTTAGAAAAGATCCGTGCCAAAGAGGGAAGCGTTTCGAGGTTCATGTGGATGAGTGTCAATGTAGTAAGCGATGTGGCAGCAGATCGGCTGGCGTACGTGGTAAGTCCAGCAGTGGTGATGCCAGGGAGATGAGTCAGGGTAAGTTTCTTGAGACGGGGAGGAAGATGAAGAAGGTTCGCATCGGTAAACGAGCTGCGTGGAAGGTGGGAGACGTTGAGATTCTGCAGCGATGGGAGATTACGGAAGGTCTGATCTAGAATGCCGTCAGGGGCCAGCGTTGCTCCGGGATGACAATGTACCACAAGTGTGGTGAGCTGTTGCCAGCCAAGGTGAAAGTCGATAAACATTCGGCATTGAGTAAGTGACAGATGTTCCAGCTCGTGGAGATTGTGTCTGCTGCTGTTGAGGTTGGCGAGATTGTGTTTACTGCCGTTTGCGAGATTGTATTTGCTTCCATTAGCAGTCAATGGGCGGATAGCGGCGGTTGACTTTTGTCGTTGCAATGGCGAGCGTTCCAGAATCCAATCCATCTCTCTCAACTTCTGACGTGTCGAAAGAGCTTGGAAAATCCGCTGAAAAGTATGATCGTATGTCGGGTAGTATCCAACCAGCCGCTCAAAGTTGGGACATGCCAGAATGACCGATGCTACTAAATCATTATATTCTTCCACTGAAGATGCTGCTGATGGCAAAGCCGGGGGTTTCAATGTCCGCACTATTGCTGCTATCCTCAAGTTTCCTCGTAGCGTTCTGCGCAAAAGAACCAGTCTTGACCCGTAAGTCAACTTCGTTCGCTTCTTCATATGATGCCCGTCTGCTCCGACAAGTTGGATGTGCCCATACAATGCTTCTCGGGCGTATTTGAGAAACTTCCTGGCGCTTATAGCAATGTTACAGCAGTCCCTCATCCAACATGTTGCACAGCTGTTAGTCCCAGGCTTGAAGTGGAGTTTCCGCAACTCCTCTAGAATAAGCTCGATAACCTCACCGGGCAGAGCAGCAAACAACTCTCCGGGCTTCGATTTCCGCCCTGGAGGTTTAGGTCGTGATACCTGAGCGGGTTTCTGGAACTGTGCCAACAAAGACGTACGAGGACCAGCAGGCGGGCTTTGTGCTCGCATCGATCCCAGGCTCGTGATGCTTCCATTGTTGATAATCGAGTAGTGTGGTCGACTTTCCCAGCTGTCTCGGTTTGAGGGAACGGTGCTCGTTGTAGTGATCATACTTTGACCGGACACTCGCCGTTGTTGATCATACATCCCCTGTTGATCCCATACCAGTCCTGCTGTTGTCGATAGTGGCCAACCCTTTGACAAAGTGGGTTGTTGATCATACATCCCCTGTTGATCCCATACCGGTCCTGCTGTTGTCGATAGTGGCCAACCCTTTGACAAAGTGGGTTGTTGAATAGCTTCAACCATCGTGGGCAATTCTACTGCCTTTTCCTTTCCCTTCTTCGAGATTGTTGTTTGGCTGGCACGAGCCGCCGTCGCTTCCTCCATCCTCGCGCTTGACCTCTGTGTTCTTAACACGAACTCTTGCTCTTTTGGTGGATACATGGTGTGAGGCAAGTCGTGGATCGGTGGCGGCATCGCAGTCTTCAAAGGAGGCAACCCCACAGGTTTCATGGGTGCTAACCTTCCAGTCTCTGGCTTCTCGTCACCAAATGCTGTGCCGCTCAGTGCCTGGTCAGAAGTAGAGGCCGTGGTATCCTTGAAACGTGGCGGTGCTTTCAATTTCGACTCATCCTGGGTCGAATAAGGACGTTGTTGTAAGACGGCAGCGGAAGAATGGGTTCGCTGGTGTTGGTATGCTAGTTGCCGACTGTTGCTGTTGAAAAAACTCAAGGGTGGACTTTTGTGTTTCCAATAATGGATCTGGTCAGTAAGCGTCTCGTCTGAAGGGTTTTCCAAAGGCCGGTGGTAGTCACGAGGAAGGGTAACAAGTAGATCAGTCAAATCAGAGAAAGGAAGTTGCAGAAAATGTTTTGCTATGACGTTGGGCAGTGAATATCATAATCTTATGAAGTAGGATAGTGGGATCTGTATGCGGCCCGTTGCTCTCTTTCCGGTATCCAATATTGGGATCTTTGGGCGCTGATAAGACGCAGCCATTCGGAAGCGCAAGCTGAGGCTTCAACCGCTCTTGGCTTTTACCGCCAGTCTCAGGCAGCCCAAGTTCCCCAGTTTGTAAACAACCCCTGAGAGAGCTTGGAAAGGGTGCCGTAACCACCGCTGGGGCCAAAGTTCGTAAGGTCACAGCTCGGCAATTGGAAACAGTGGTTATTTAGAGTGCCTCGAGTGGGTAGGTAGTACTCGTAGCGACAATTCTCGTAACCTCACTCGCCGACCTAGGCCTGCAGCGCGTGCCGAGGAGGACCCGCCAAGATGTAACCGCTGCAACCAGCCATTGCGGGATGTTGCCCACGAAGCGACCACTGGGCAACTGTACTAGTACAATATCGTGGCGCCACTGCCTCGCGGTGGAGATTGTGACTAGAAAGAAAGAGTCCATCCCGGCGGGTATGATTGTGGGATTAAAATGGTACGGGAAGGGACGGCAAACAGCTTCTGTCTTCATTGTTGAATCCGGGCATAGCTTGGTGGAAGAACGAGGGATGTTGGCTTGGCCAGAGCCCTTGAAGATTCGAATGCAACGAGAACCGAGCTGGGCTTCTTTTGAAACTCGACACTTGCTGACGGGCTGAGATGCTCCCTTGTTAAAAGGGGCCTATGACACTGCCGAAACGCCTTAAGACGCGGAGAACAACGAGGGAAGCCCGGGAACGGGAATGAGGTCCACGTTACACGGCGTGCGAACAGTCAACACAGCACCGCTTGGGGCTTTGGCACGCTAATGGACGCCGGGTAGCAGCAGGCAATGACAGAACTGCTGGAGTGCGGCTGTAAAGTCTTGACTATAGGTCATGATAAAATGGTGATGTGATTACATGTGGAGAAAGGGGATCCAGGGTGAAACAAAACTCTGCGGGATGGACAACAAGGAATAGCTCGAGGTAAATAATAATTATAAAGGAAAAAAAAAAAAGAAAAAGAAAAAAAGGCTAAGAAAATTTAATCCAGAAAAAGCACCGAAAAAAAGCGTTACTCACTAAGAAGTTGACGATCTGCCTTTAGTCTTGGGTCTTTTCGATTCTCCTCCAACAGGACTGGATCTCTCTTCGCTTGGCGCCCGAGAGGGCGGATTACTGGCTCTTCTGCTGCCGCCGTCGCGCGTGTCGGAAGTTCCCTCCGAGTGGTCTTCTGTCACCGAGTTTCTCCTATTTCGAGACCGTGACCTGAGCCGTTGGACGAAGCTGGATATCGAACTTTCGCTGCCCCTTCGACCCCGACGCCACCATTTCGACGAGGAGGGCTCATCTGACGGCGGCTCGGCGGACGAGCCGCGCGATCCATCCGAATGATCTCTGATCACCATGGCTGAATGGGTGATGTCGGCAAGGTTGGTGAGGAGATGATAAAGTCGGGTAGCATGAGGCGTAGGCGGATAACTGATACTTTACTCGATATGCTGTGATTATGAGACAAAAAGGAGGATCCTAAAAATGTCCGGAACCGTTGTTCACTCTAGCATCGTTCAGCGGTTGAATTCCAAGTCCCGCTAACCAAGTACCAGGCTTTTTCTGTTTGATTGTTTGTTGGTGATTGCGCCGAGCAAACAGGAGATGGAAAGTAGCTGAAGCAGTGATTGGTGTTGTTGTTGGATCGTGTCCGGATTGGAATACAACGCTACCTGTCCAAATACGATATTGAAGGAGCGAGTATTTGGTAATGACTGTCGTTCGTATATGTGTCCTATCCCTAGGTATATAGGGTGTCGATGTCGATGAAACGAGCAAGGGCGAGCGAGGGGTTGCCAGATAGCCAAGACCGGGGAGGGTGCCGTCAGATCGTCAAGAAGGACAGATCAAAAAGTGTGTGTATAAACGAGTGACTGAGAATCGCGAGAGCGAGACGGTTCGTTCAGTGGACGAGGGGTCCGATGTGACGGGATGCGACGGACCAAGGTTGATAGTGCTTTCTCCGGCTGGTAATAGCAGCCATCAATCGAGCTGGTGTCCCAGGTTGCACGACTGCTGCGGCAGGGTCGGTTTGGAGTTGTCAGCTACCTCTACTCTCAGGTGGTGATGAATGAAGGGAAAGAGAGCGAAGAAGGAAGAGAGACCTGAAAACATCTGACGACTACTAGACTACACCACCTACTTGCTTGGTAGAGCAGCTGCAGCTTTTGCTTGGTTCCTGCCTAGACTAGGTACCTACTTTTGAGGTTGCAGACTGCGACTGCCTCCTCCACCGAGAATGGATGCATCGACCTGCATCGACGCTGCATCGACCCTGCCTGCACTGGATTTCCACTTAGCCCTTGCCCGAGTTCCGTACTTACAGTGGAATACGTCCCGGGTTCGTCGTCAATCTATCTTGTTCCCTTGTTTCTGAAGGATTCCTCGCTCCTTGCACCAGGACTGGCGAGCCCCACAGCATTGAAACGGCGTTTTTGGAACATGCCCATGTGTACCTCTAGCGGTGCCACCAGTGTTTGTCAGGAGAGGACTTTGTGACAGCCCTGGTCCCTCCAAAACACCTGGCATCGGGACTGGACTGCGCTTTGTTTATATGGCTTCTCCCCTACATACCCATGTGTCTGTCTTATCGGTAACTCGGCATCCTTGGACTCGAATGGCCGCCACCTCGTCTCCTCGTTCGCGCAATACAATTCCGGTTGGAGCGTGTGTTTGGTAGTCGGGAGATGTGCTGTCAAACTGGCTGGCGGCCTTGCGAGCTGGCGAGTTACCAAACAAAGTAGTGTAAAATAGGTAGTGTACGGATGATCCACCAGGCACCTAGCTCTTTTAGTGTCGCTGCATCGGTTACTCTGTCCAATGTGTGGCTTCGATACCATGTCAGCTTGTCGATCCGGCGCTGGTTATACGAGCATCTCCTCCTTGGAACTTGTCCAAGTCTGCGGCTTTTGCATGGCCTGCTGGGACCGACTTTCCCGGGGCGGGCGGAGGGGGGTCTGCGGGCCGCTCTAGCTGTTTACAAGGGAATCAATGATTTTCACTCTCGCTCACTAACAAGACCCGGGGGCTACCAGCAGCTGATTCGGTTAGTGAACTTCACATGCCACTGTTTCTCCAACCGGTGTCTTCGTCTGAGGCCGCGACAGAACAACAAAGTCAACATGAGACGAACAGCCTCCGCACCTCCACAAACCGGACACCGCCGTAGGAGCAAATCCCATGTTCGAGAGTCCACGGGACGCGACCCGCAAAGTCGTTTTAGGGGACGGCAACACCCCACGATGGGGCTGACTAGAGGACTGGACCGGACCGAGGTCAGGCCTGGCCACGCTGCGATGAGGATGATCTCGACCTTGACCGCCTGAGCGGGCTCAAAAGAACATCCAATTGTGCGGGATGGTGATAGTGGCGCGACAAAGATCCCGATGGCTGTCGATTGGATGAATGAACTGCGTCGCTCCCTCGCAGGATGCCAGTCATGTCAGTCGAGCCCTTTGAATCTGCACTGCATACACTACAGTCGGGTCCCAGGCAAGTGGATAAGCATCGTACTGCATCAGCAGTCTTGCATTCTTTTTGCATTTCTTTCAGCTTTGATGGTTTCCATCCCCACACACGCACTTGTCCAAATCATCTTTGGGTACGTAGATCGTATATAATTCGCCATTTGCGGGCCGGGCCTTCGCCCCAGTGACGATCAAAGTTCATGAGGTGGCTTCGCAATCTGCCTGTTCCGGTTCAGGTCGTGTCCGGCCTGGGGGCAGGCTCTAAAAGGTTTCCCTTTCTTCAATCCACATCTGCATATGGATATTCACCCTGGACAGTTTCTCCTTTTGGCCACATGGCCCTTCGAGCATATACGTCAGACACAAACTGCAGACATGGTACCTGCGGCTAATAGTTGTTACCCTAGCATGTTTGTATGTCAACACATACGGGAAGTTACTATATCATTCAACATTTGTTCATTCCCATATGAGTATCGATTATAACTAAAATCCGTTACCATAGGGCGGACTTGTGATTCGCCTAGGACATCTTTGCCGAGGAGACCAACATCTGTTGAGCATGAGAATACCGGTTTGCCAGTATTTCCGGTTCGCAAACCGATGAAAGCCTTCGACCCAGATCCTAAACCAAGGAATTCATTAAGAAAAGATAATCGAAAACGTGACATGCTGCCGCAAGAGTTAAAAAAAAAAAAAAAAATGCTGTCTAGAAGTCCAGAAAGGCGAGGATGGCCAGCGTTCGGGATATCCAGATTGTGTACAAAGCTGTACAATGACTTTTCGGAGTCCTGGCCAAAGGCTGCGCTTGTCAATGAAGGAACTCGGTCTGTTCGTCACAGATCAAGGGGAAAAGGGGGGTTCGTTCTCAATGGATGTCTCATCAAAGCCATGTTGGTTAACACAGGCTTTTCGTAGATTGCATCGTCCACTGCCCAGTCCATGGGGGAGGGGATATGGCCTGACGGGAAATGGTCAGTAATTTATCCTCACCCGGAAATAGCCAGACCGCCAGGCTCACCAAGGTCGACTCAATTCTCATCCGTGTCTGCAAATCGGACACGGAGACGCTTAGTCGAACGAGAAGAAGGAGGACCCTCGGCTGAATCTGGCTCCGCTCTCTGTTGGGCATCCATCATCATCACATCTCCATATTTTTCCATGGAGGAGGTAGCTGAATGTATAGCGCTGTCATCGTCCTCGTACGTCCTCTTGTTGGAACCCAAAGTTGCTGTTATGTATTGACCCGAGGTGGTTACTTCATTATCCCTCTGAGATTTTCTCCCCGCATTCACGGCTCTTAGGGCGTCGCTACCTAGGTCGCGCATCACAAGATCCGTGTCCGGATGCTCACGGTAAGTGCCGGAGCTCCTTCCAAAGATATACTGCGGTTCCGCCAACTTGGCCATCTGCGCCGGTCCGTCATCCTTATCCACGCTCGCCGGAAGCGGAAGAATCTTAGCATTCAAGATCCAGTTGTAGATCGGTCGGTCATCCAGAATCGAACCCCGGCTGCACTTCCTCTGCTCAGCAGGCGACATTTCCTTGCGCCGTCGGACAATCACCTCGTCAATGCTGCCGTGCAGCACTAGCGTCTCGACCGTAACCGGCTTCTGCTGGCTTATTCTGCGCGCGCGGCCGATGGCCTGGGCCCCAACCTGCGGGTTCAGCACCGGGTTGATGAAGTAGATGCGGGAAGCCGTCTTCATATCCAGGCCGTAGGCCGCCTGACTGACATCCATGAGCATGACCCGTATCTTCGGTTTCAGCGTGAAGGTGGCAAGGTAATGGTTTTTGCGCTCGCTGGTGATGCCCTTGGCGTAGATGAGATGCTGGATTTCAAGAACTTCGAGCACCTCGGCAAGGTAGTAGGCTACGTTGTCATTCTCGTAGAATACCAATATCTGCTCGGCTTCTTGGTGTTGGATGATTTGGTCGACGAGATATGAGAGCTTCGCTGAGGCGGTCGAGATCAACCTCGTTCTTAAGAGGGGTGCAGCAACTTCTGAGGCCGAGCCGGCTATAGAACTTTGTTGTTCTTGCGCAAGCTTTGTTTTCTCCACAAAAGGTTTTATCACTCGGAGAGCTTTTTTTCGCATATTGGAATGGGTGTCGGTGGTTCCTACTGTGGACACATTGTCTTGGAGGGGCCCAAATTTCTCCCAACTGGTGTGCGCCAACGCATTTCGCCGATCATGCTCTCCCCACGTAGCAATATCTCCTAACGCGGGCAATGTATCGAGCGTTTTGGGAGATTTGATGAAGGGCTTTAGGCGCTCCTGAAGGCGAAGAAGGAGGGGCGCCATTGTGCAGACGGGGTCTCCGCCGCTTACATCGAGAGACCAATGTTCACCGGCGCCGAAAGGAAAGTTTTCAACGAATACTGGAACCTGGGCAAAACAGTGGGCGGAATCCTTGATGGTGTTGCTAACCGCAACTCGACCAAACTCAATGGCGGTTCGTAGCAAATCGTCGTCCTTTGCGGTGATGTTTACCGCGCCCTCGTC